AAAATCAAGCTGAAAAAAGAAGAAGAAAAAAAAAATTAAAATTGACGAAAAATTCGGATAAATTGCGAGGAAAAATCGTTTTATTTTTTTCTTCACCCGTTTTTTTTTGGTTCCATAACGGTGAAAATTTTTAATTTTCAGAAACTGTCAGGATTTTTTTGTTGGATGTTTTCAGCGGATAACAAATAAAACCGGATTGTTGACCGTTGAGTTGAATTTGATCAACAAACGAAAATTTGAATTCAAATGATAAATGTGTGTGTGTGTGAGAAACGTAGAAAATTTCAACGGCTAAAAATGTTCGTTATGTTTATCAAAACATTTTTTTTTATTAAACCGAAAATGAAAAAGTTTTCTATAACGAACCTTATTGTCGATTCATGGATATTTATCGTTATAAGATAATAACTTTAACAACGGTCAAAATAAACCAGTCAACAAAAACAAAAAACGAATCGAACGAATGAAAACCCGAAACGTTCGAAAAAAGTGATGGGCGTGTGAAAAAAATTATTTAAGAATTTTCTCATCCACACCTACACACAATCGATATAATCGATACTGATTTACAAAAAAAAAATCATGACTCGCCCATCCTGTCGATTATCATTCAGGCTCCAAAATCATCATTTTTATTGAGTCACTTGACACTTTGGGCCAAACGAAAAAAAAAATTTCTGGTTACACAATCATCATCATCATCATCATCATCATCATCAAAATCAATTTCCATAAAGTTTTTTTTTGTTAAAAAAAAACTTCAATTAAGTAACCTATGACCTTTTTTTCCCTATTTCTTAGGTAAAGGACATTCGTTTGTTCGTTCTCCTTGAATCAAAGGTTATTCGATGACTATGACGACGACGACGATAAACTTCTCATCACCTTTGGTTTTGGCTGGTTTTTTATATCCGTATTTTTGTTTCTTTTAACAAAAACAAACAATTTCCGCTTACAAGCCCTTTTTGGAACTCCTTTTTTTTCTTTTTTGTTCACATTTGTCGTACGTTTTCTTTAATCGTGAAAAATTTTTTCTGAATGAATGAATGAATGAAAAGGATGTGATGAATGAACTAAAATGGAAATGGATACAAACAATGTTAATAAAATGAAAATCAGGAAAGGAAAGGAAAAAAATCAAGATTTAGGTTAAAAGATCGACGACCATTTCGTCATTTATGAATGTTTTTTTTTTTTTTTTTTTTGAGATTCCAACATTCGAAATTCGAAATTCGAACGTTTTTTTTGGAATTCGAACGTTCGAACAGAATTTTGGTGACAAAAACTCAATTTTTCAAAGTTTTTCCTCTTTTTCACATGAGATAATCAATGAAAACTGATTATGTTATCAAATCAAATCTAAACGAACGAAAAATGAAAATTCGATTTCAGTTTGAAATTTTTGTTTTTTTTTCACATTTCTGGTTTGTGTGTGTGAATCGACCATAATTTTCATCAAAAAAAGAAAAAAAATTATTTACGCTTTCTCAGGATCACCAAACACACACACACCAACTACAACGATGAAGAAGATATTCAATGTTGTCATCATCATTGTTGTCCAACCAAAAAAAAGCAGCGGCGACTTCGACGGCACCAAAAAAAAAACTTGAAGAATTTGATTCCCACGCTCACCCGGCTTGATCATCATCATCATCATCGATTCAGTTGTTATCCTCCTCCTCCTCCTTGTTGTTCTTGTTGTCCTCCTCATCATGTTCTGTTCTTATTTATCGCGTCTTCATCCAAGAAAGAAACAAAAATTTCTTGTGTTTTTTTTTTTTTTTTGATTGACATTGAAAGAAAAGTTCACACACACAAAACACTGGCTGACTGACTGTAATCTTCCTTCCTTGAGATTGTTTGTGTGTGTGTGTGTATGTCTATCGAGGGGTAGAGGTCTCATGTCCGTTTTTTTTTCTTTTGGACAACCAACGAAATTCCCATGCCCTTTTTATCAACAGAAAAAAAAATATTTCCTCAAGGAAATTTCCTTATGGACCTAGCGCAAACGAATCGTGTGTGTGTGTGTGTGTGTGAAAAAGCTTGACCACTTGTTGCATATTTTTTTAATTTAGGTATTTATCATCATCATATGGTTTTACCTTTCTCTTTACTTTCTGTTCTTCATCATCTTAGGTCCCGCGAACGAATGTTTAAACGACGATGATGAGCGAAACAAAACACCACTATCAACAACAACAACAAGTTGTCCTTGGATAGGTCACATACAGAAAAAAAAATCACACAAAAAACTGGTCATTCATCCAAACTTCTTCTTCTTGGTTGAAAGAAAAAAATCATCTTAATAATGTGTGTGATACACGAAGCAAAAAACGAAAAGAAAAGAAAGAAAAAAAGTTTTAAGGCAAAACCAAAGAGGAAACGTCAGAAAAGCCCCTAAGGAAGGATGGGATAGGCATGGGAACGAAAAACCAGAAAAAAAAATCGAGCAAAATTTTTTTTTTTCATCATCATCCTGGGTAATGTAAATCGAGGGGTGAAAAAACCAAAAAATAAAAAATAAAACGGATGGCCAGAAAAAAAATTCAATCTGTTCAACAAAATCTTGGGTCCCATAGTGAAACAACAACAGGCGAAGTAAAAAAAAATCGAACCGAAAAAATAAAACAGGCGCGGTTTTCCTCTCTCTCTGTGACCAAATCGCGCAAGGTCCGTATGACCCTTATTTCGATATTCTTTACCACTACTACTACCTTTGACATTGTTTTTTTTGTTTGACTACTATGATTAATACTACTAGCAACAAAACAAAAACAAAAAAAGGCCAGGCCAAAGGATAGACACAGACAGATGTGTGTGTAAGTGGAGGGTTTTCAATTCATTCACATTCGATTCGATGAATGAAGATTTTGTTCTTTTTTTTTTTTTTGCTGAATATTATCGGCTTTTGCTGCTGCTACTGATTGTGGTAACATTTGGTTTTGATATTGAGTTTTTGGTTGGTGGTTATCATTGAAATTTTTTCTTTGAGTTTTCTTGATGATGATAATTTTCTTCAAACAAACGACGACAGCTGCTACCAAAAAAAACCAAAAAAGAAAAAAAACATTCCATTCATTTACATTCCTGTTGCTGTTTGGTTATCATCCTAAAACGAAAAAAAATTATTATTCAAACTGTGTTTCAAGATTCAATCAACAAAAAGAATTTTCATTTTTCAATAATTCATCAATTTAATCAAACGAATTTCATCAACACCAACAACAACAAGAAAAATCGAAAAAAAAATTTCAAATTTGTGCGATGATGATTCTGTAAAGATAAATTCTTTCTTTTTTCTTCGGTGTTTGTGTTATGATCAAATGTGTCAAGAAGAAGAAGAAACATCATCATATAAATAACAACAACAACAACAATGTTGGAAATGATCAACAATGTTATAAAAAGTGATAATAATAATCATCAACAACAACAACAACAACAATTTCAAGATAATAATAATGAAGATGATGATGATTGTGATCAAAAAACGTTAACATTTATTGTTAATGATAATCATCATGTTTGTAATGATGAAGAAGATCAATTTAATATGGAATCATCAAATTATCATCATCATCATCATCATATGAAATCATTGATTGTAACAAATAGATTGGATTATATTTTAAATAATCAAAATAATAATGATGATATTTTACCATTATCACCATCATTAACGCCACCTATAACATTATCACCGGTAACATCACCATCAGAATTATCATCAACAATTTCTAACCCAACAACAACAACAACAACATTAGATTACTGTGATGATGATCAATTTGAAACAACAACAACAACAACAATGAATAATTGTGAAACGATAGCAGCTACAACAACGACATTAACTTCGATCCACAGACAATCACCATCATTTGATAATCATGTTCATCATCATCAACAATCCTCATCTTCAATGTCAACATCCACCGCAGTTGCAACTTCGTCATCATCATCATCATTATATCAACCAATACCAATTGTTCATCAATGTATAATCAATACACAATTAGCTAATCATCAATCAACTCGACAACAAGAAGAATCTTATCAGAATAAAATATTATTAGCAAAAAAAATTCTTAAATTAATACAAAATAATGATTATGAACAATTTTCACGAATATTACTATATAAAAAACCTGATTTAAATGTATTTATTAATGGTCAAACAGCATTACATTATTGTCTTTTATTAGGTAAATATTGTTTTTAGACAAAAAAAAACTTGATAATCTTTGATTCTATTTGATTTTAATCTATTTTGTTATTTTTTTCTAATCTTTTCGATCATCAGGTCGTGATGTTTCATGGTGTAAATTATTAGTATTGAATGGTGCAAATCCAAATCTATCAAATCAAGATGGTTGGCATCCATTGCATTTAGCTGCATTTCGTGGCCTAAAAGAAAGTGTCAATTATTTGACAAATTGCAATAATAATACACAAAACTATTTTCATGATAATCATCATCTAATAACGGCTAATAATAATAATAATAATAATGATGAACAAATGACAACAAATTTATAGAAAAAATGATAATGATAAAACCATTAATGGAAACGGAAATCTTTTTAAAAAATGTGATAATCATCAAATTTTTTTTTCTCGACTCACATCATTCATTCATCCATATATGATTGATAATTATTTTGATAGAAAAAAAAATCTTATCAAATTTTGTATGTACAGATACATTCAATTTTTAAAAAAATTTTAAAACTGATTTTTTTTTTGGCACCCATCACATGATAAACACATACATATGCACATGATCATCATCATCAATTTGTATATAGATTTTTTTGTTATTGTTTTGTTATTTATGATTGTGAAAAATTCTTTTGATGAATTAAAGAAAAGTTGAATTTCAAAAAGAAAAATTCTGTCTTGTTCAATGAATGAAATGATGGCCGGTCAGTTTGGTTAATTAACCAATTAATTAACCAAACTTTTTTTTTCTTAGGAAAATTCTTTTCGATGAGAGATTCTCACCATGTTCACGGATATGATTACCACCATCAACACGGTAAACAACCAAAATTTTCTCACCACTAACCAACCAACCAACCAAACATTTGATAATTTTCAAACAAACAATGGAATGGAATGGAGAATATATATCGATCAAGCTCATGGCTTCATCATAGTGAGAAAATTTTTCTTTTTTCGCGAGAGAGAGAGAGAGAGAGAAAAGAGTGTGTGATATCGATGATGATGAGAGCGTTGTTGTTGTTGTTGTTGTCGTCGTGACTCTCACCAATGTTTCTTTTTTTTTCGTTTTGGTCGTTGTCGTCGTTCTCACTCACTATCTTTACCACATTCTCTCTCTCTCGTTCGGTGAGAGGATAATATTTATTTTCTGATGAGAAAATAGAAAAAAACTTCGGTCGCTTTCTCTCATTGCTTATAATGTTTGGTGTCTGTGAATTTTTTTTTTTTCGTTTACCAACTTGTTCTTTTCATTATTTCAGAAAAAAAGAGCAGAAAAAAATAACAAGGTTTTATCACTCACAACAGGCAATGATGAGAAAATTTTCTTCTTTTTAATTTGATAATCAATTATCGATTTGGATTTTTTTTTCTCATGATTTTCGGATGATAAAAGAAAAACAAAACAAAAAAAGAATATTTGATGGTGATTTTTTCTTTTGATTCGATTCGAATATCGTTCGATCGAACGATGGAATCGATTTTTTTTCCCCGATCGGATTTGGAACTAGTACCGCCATCTAGGAAATTTGAAACAAATTTTTCCTTTTTTTGGGTATCACGTGTTTTGTCGCTGTGGAAAAATCCATGCTTGTTTTTGTTTTGATTTTTTTTGAAGTTCAATTTTTTAGTTTTTAACGGAAAATAATTACCGAAAATGCCAATGAATAATTATTCACAACATTTATTTGAACCATATAAATGTATTGGTCTTGTATCATCATCCGTACCACATTTAATACGTTATATTGAAAAATTGAATAAAATTCAAATTGTTACAGCTGTTGGTCGTTCATTTTTAGTTTTTAATGAAAAATTACAATTAATTGAAACATGTATGTTTATTTTGTTTGTCATTCAACTTTTGTTTTCTCATTTTAATCATTGAAAAACATTTCTATTTATTACAACAAAGGTGTTGCACATTCCACCGATATAACATTAATGGCATCGGATTCAAAATTTTTATTTACAGCAGCATCGAATGAAATATTTGCCTGGAAACATGGCCATAGATGGGTTAGTATTTCAATCAATCAATTCGGGTTAATTTGAAACTTTTCAATTTGGTTGTTTTTTTTACAAAAATTAGAAAATAAAATCCTATAAAGATGAACAACGACAAAAAAATCTTAAACATCTGATGGTTTTTGGTGGTCAATTATTGGCCATTGATGATGAACAAAATCTGATTTGTTGGGATATTAATACACAGGAAATTGTATCGATAATATCGTTTAATAATAATTCATCAATTGAACAGCAATCGATTGATTCATCATCAACAACAACAATCATAACATCAATATTACATCCAGCAACTTATATAAATAAAATTCTTATTGGAACCCGACAAGGATCGTTACAATTATGGAATATATCTAAACAAAAATTAATTTATCAATATAATCCATTTGATGGAACGGAAATTTGTTCATTGGTTCAAAGTCCAGCATTACATGTTATTGCTATTGGTCATCACTCAGGATTGATTGTTCTTCATCAACTACAACAAGATATGACAATAATGAAATTTCAACAAGAATTTGGCCCCGTTACGACAATATCATTTCGTACGGATGATGCAGCAACTATACAATTAATGGTAACCGGATCAAATCGTTCTGGTCATCTAGCTATATGGAATTTGGATGAAAAAAGATTAGAACAACAACAACGTGATTTACATTGGCAATCAATTGTATCGGCTAGTTTTATACAAAAACAACCATTATTGATAACAAATTCTGCGGATAATTCATTGAAAATATTTATTTTTGATGATTTACAAACAATGGGAAGATTATTATTTCAACGTGAAGGACATCGTTCACCACCAACACGTATTCGATTTTATGGTGATAAAGGAAAATTTATACTTAGCTCAGGTCTTGATTCAACGCTACGATCATTTTCCATTTATTCTGAACGTTTAAATCGTAGTCTTGGCCAAGCAAGTGCTAATCGTAAACTGGCAAAAAAACATGGCCTTAAAAATGATACAAATGTTTTGCTACCTATCGTAGATTTTGCTGTTGAATATTGTCGTGAAAAAGAATGGGATAATCTTGTTGCATGTCATCGTAATACAGCATTGGTTACAACATGGTCAGTTGATCGTATGAAAATGGGAAAATTTAAATTATTACCAGAAAGATTTCGATCCAAACAACATAATGTACAAGCTGAATGTTGTCATATAAGTAGTTGCGGAAATTTTTGTATCATTGGTTATAGTAGTGGTCATATTGATCGATTTAATATACAATCAGGAATTTATCGTGGTTCATATAGTGATGATTTGGGTGTAAATAGTAATAGTGATGATCAAAAACCAGCTCATCAAGGTTCAGTACGATCAGTGTTAACGGATGCAATTAATCAGATGGTCATATCAGGTGGTGCTGATCATTATTGTCGATTATGGCGTTTCAATGCAAAACAAAATCAATTAATTGGTAGTTTTAAACTGACTGATTCAGTCGCCAGAATGTGTCTGCATAAAGATAATCAATTTTTAGCTATTGCATTGGATAATTTCTCTGTTGTTATTTATGATTTGGATACAAAGAAAAAAGTTCGTAATTTTCAATTGCATCGTAATCGTATTACGGATTTAACATTTGATAATGATTGTCGCCGGTTATTTGTTTCATCAATGGATTCATTTATTTATATTTGGGATATGATTTCTGGTCATTTAATTGATCTATTATCAATGGAAACACCATGTGTATCATTATCATTATCAACGAATGGTGAATTCTTAGCAACTGCACATGTTAATCAATTAGCCATTTATTTATGGTCAAATATTTCGTTATATAGTAAAGTTACATTATTACCATTGAATGAAACACATTTAGAAACAATACAAACAATGAAATTACCTGAAATTAAATCCGATGAAATTGATGGCCAAAATGATGAAGATGATGAGGATACTGATGATAATACAGAAAATTCAACAAACGAAATGGAAAATCATCCTATTGAATATCAATATAAATCACCGGAACAAATTTCTACCGAACTGATAACATTATCAACAATTGCTAGTTATCAATGGAAAAATCTTTTACAATTAGATTTAATACGAAAACGTAATAAACCAAAAGAAGTATTGGAAAAATCAATAGTTGCACCATTTTTTCTACCAAGTATCAGTGGACTCGAACCAAAATTTGATTTATCTAAAAAACCAGATAATAATAATGATGATTATGAAATGTCAGAATCAATTTTGAATGAAAAATCATTATCCAAAACATATTTAATATCAATATTTGCAAAATCATTACAACAACATTATCAACAGAATAATCTTCAAGAATTTTTTCAACAACAAATGAAATTATTAGGGCCATCCAAAATTGATGCTGAAATCAGAAGTATTGGCCTTGAATCAACTGGTACAATTGATTTTATGTTATATTTTTTAGAAATGATTTCAACAATAATCGAATCAAATCGTGATTTTGAATTATGTAATGCATATTTAGGTTTATTTATCAAATGTCATACTGATACTATATTGAAACATTCAAAATTATTCGATCGTATTGATTGTTTAGCTAAATTAATTGATAAAAAATGGTATCGATTACAACGATCATTAGATCGTTCAATATCATTGATTGAATTTTTACGAAATGCATTGATATGATTTTTGTTTTTGTTTTTATTATTTAAAAAAAACTAATCAGAAAAAAATAACTAACATGTATTAAATAAATGATTGATTTTGATGAATGAATGAATTGAATGAATGATGATTTGGTGATGTTTTTTTTGATGGTTGTGATTTTGGCTTATTCATTAATCGGTTGTTGTCGAATAATACGGCCATATTTATTCATAATTTTTTCCGCATCATCATGATCATAAACAATTGGTAATTGCATTTGTTTTAATTCTGGTTCGAAAATCTGATCAAATCGTTGACTTTGTTCAGCTGTAAAATTATTACGCCAATCACCGATAATACCTTTTCGCATGAATTTTGTTTTACTCATATCGAATAGATCGGCAACAGGTAATTCTTCACGATTTACCATTTTATTGTTACGCATTTTTTCAAATGTACAATGTAATGTTATACGATCGATTTGCTTTTCGGTTAATGGATGGCCAACAAAATCACAAATAATGCCAATCATTCTTTTCAAATCCTATTATAAAAAGAAATCAATCAATTTGTTTGTTTATATAGCTAACCTATCATACATACCACTTTAAGTTCTTCATATGAAACAAATAAAACTGAATCAGGATTTTGTTGATATAATTCCCAAAAACCACGTACATGATCTAACCATGATCCATATACTAAATGTCCTTTAGCAAATAATTCAACAAAATCATCCCATGTACCAGAATAATTGCCCAAAAATGTACTAATACGATGATGATGATAATAAGAAACGGCATTATCTTTTGGATTACGTACTACATATATGATCTGTTTATTATGTGTCAACAACAACAACAACAAAAGATGTCTGTTATTTATGATCAAAATATTTACTTTATATATGTACTTTACCTTAGCTTTTCCTTGCCGTAATTGTCCGGGAATATTTTCCACATTTAAATGTGTTGCCAATAAACGTGGTGAACGAAATGATCGTAACCATTTTAAATGACCAAATGGTTTACCAATTTCCAAATGTGGAACTCTTTCTGCAATAATTTTTTTCGAACAAGCATCAATATCACCATTAGCAAATATTAATGATAATATTTCTTCAGTCCATGTTGTACCAGATTTTGGATATGTACAAAGCCAAATATCATCATTACGTATTTCAAAATTTTCAATTCGACGTAAAACTTTTGGATAAACAAGATAACCTTGTAACAATAAACCATTCATACGCATTGCTTTCGGTATTGATAATACATATTTCGATAATAATTCATCATTCTTTAAATTTGGATCATTTTTAGCTTTACGAATTTCACAATTATCTTTACCATTTTTTGAATCTTTGGTCAATAATACACTTATTGGTGATTGATATAAAAATTTTAATGTTAAAAATTTTGAAGGCATTATTATTAAAAATGATGGTGTTTTTGTTGTATAATTTGTTGATATTTTTTGTATTGATCGATGATCGTCATCAATAATTTTTGTTGAACATTGATGTTCATTATGATCGATGGTAATCATTTTTAAATGGAAAATTTTTTTCCGATTTTTCTCAATCAAATCAAATTAATTATCGAAACAAAAAAGAGAAACAAAAGGAAACAATTAATACAATGTTGTTGTTGTTGATGATGATAATGATTATTGGGTACCCAATCTTGTACAATCAAATTGTACAATGTCAAATTTTTTTTTTATTACTAAAATAACCAAATAAAGGATTGATAATTGAGGACTACTGATAAAGATAATGATAATGAGAAATATATCAAAAAAAAAGAACATATTAGTTAATATGATAAAATAGGTACCTACCAAACAAAAAAAGAAATACCTGGTGCAAATTAATTAATTATTTTTCTTTTGTAAAAAAACATGGGATTCACTCATTGAACAATCCTCGATATCAAGGATGATGATGTTCCAGAGAATAGAAAATTTTGATTAGATTTCTTTTGTTGTTGTTGTTTTGATAATGATGCTTGACAATCAACAAATGATGATGATGATGGGTGTTCAATAGAATCTCGATGATGATAACAAAATCTAAAATTTTTACAAAAAAATTAAAAAAATAAAATGGGTATACCGGATCACATACAAAAAAAAAATGTTATTTCAATGATATCATTTTGTTGTTGTTGTTGTCTTCTCTGGTGTCCAAAATGAAAAAATTTCAATTTCGATTCCTTATTACACCTCTTTTTTTTGTTTCCGTTTTGTTGTTGTTGTTGTTGATTTAGGTTACCAAATTGAGAAATATTGCACCGTTCAACTATAGGATTTTGTAGAAAATTAAGGGAGTGAATCAATCACACACGGAATAAGTTAACAATATCTCGACTCAGTAAATTACTGTGTATTGGTTTTTCATCATTTCCAGTTTTACAGTTTTTTTGCTGTCTGGCGATCAAAAAGAATCGGGCGTATAAATTTCTTTCTTTCTACTACTTTGTTCCTTATTACACCCAAAAAAAAGTATTATTAATAATAATAAAATCATTTGGTTAAATATCTGGATTTTCACTCACTTGCTTGCTTGATACACATGATGATGATGATGATCGTCGTTTATTGCACCACAAAATTTTTATTTTCTGTCCTTTCCATGGTTATCTTGGCAAATCAAAAAATCATATATTTTTTTCATATATAAAAAAACCATTTTTTGATTTGATTAATATTTTTGAGAAAAACAAAACACACACAGCCAACCAATCTATGGTCGTATGCATATTATTATTATGATTATCAATGAATGACATGGCTAAAATAAAAAAATCCGAAGCAAATCTGCAATGAATATGAATTATTATGAATAATAATAAAATTTTATTATGAAAATCATAAAATCGATCAAAATACCTTTTCTGCCATCTAGTTTTACAAGAATTTAGTGAGTTTTTTTCCCGGGCATCATCAAAATAATAATCGTTGAATAACAAAAACATTATTTATTCATTCATTCAAGAATATTCTCTGTTGAAATGAATGAATGAATAATGGGGTTTGGTTTGACAAAATTGATTATTTTCACTAATCTAATAACATAAAAAAGTAAAACACTGACTGGCTGGCTGGCTGGCTGAGACGAAACACTTTTTTCTATTTCAATGCGCATGCTCGAAAAATGGATGGCTTGCATTTTTTATTTATAAGGATCTTTTGATTTTTACATAAACAAATGGCTGGCTTGCATTGGACTTGGCCTTATGACTAAGCTAGACTTCGTCTACTTAGTAGACGAAGCCAATGGCCAATGGCTTGCAATGCTAGTTTTAATAATAATCATAATAATACTTTAAGAATTTATCGAAGAAAAAAGAAGAATCGAATCGAATCGAACGGGATGAGCAAATCGAACGTTTTTTTTTTTTTTTTTTGGTATGCCGTTCATAATAATCATGATCATCATTTATAATCAAAAAAAACGAAAAGAATTTTCAAAAAAAAAAATTCTTTTCGATTCTTTGTTGAATGGATATTGGTTTGGTCGAAATTTTCTTTTTAATAATAATATGTACGAGGGGAAACAACAACAAAATTTTTGTTTTGAAAAGATGATCGCTGACACTTTCACTAAACGATATGTATGTTTTCACACTTTTTGTTCGTATTTTATTATTGAATTTGACATCAATGTGTGTGTATGCGATCAAATGAATGAATTTTTCAATATTTTTTTCTTTCTTCTTCTTTATTAAAAGAAGGTTTTTGTCGTTTTCGTTGTCTCGTTATCCATCACTATATAAATTAAACAGTAAGTAAGTAAGTAAGTATTCTTCCTTCCTTTTTTTCATTGGAATCTTTGTTTGTTGTTGTCGAATTGAAAAAGTGATGAAATGCCTAAATGATAATAATAATCCATTGTTCAAACAATGAAAAAAAAAGAAATATGGATTCCACATTCCTTAAAAATTGCTCTCTTTTCATTTCATTTTCTCTTTGTTCTTCATTCATTCATTCATTCATTCAACAATCAATCGAATATTTAATATTGGATGATGATGATGATGATGGTGATCATCCAATATCATCATCATCATCAACCAATATCATTATCAATGTGTGGATCATATTTAAATTGCTGGGAAATTTCTTTCACTATATATTCATCGTTCTATGTATATTTTTGGTCGATCATTCATCATAAATTTGGTTTTTTTTTTTTGGTTGAAAATGAAAATTCAAACTTTGATGAAAATTAACATGAATAAAATGAATGAATAGAAAAAAAAACAGGGAATGTCATCCACACACACACACACACATCAACAATGGACAATTTTGTAGGAAAAAAAATCAACAAAATTTTCCATTTGGAAAATGACATTAATATTTCGTTTTACAATGGACAATAATCATCATGTCATCACACACACACACACACAAACATCTCTTCAATATTCTAATTTATTAACCTACTAGAACCGGAGATCCACAGAATTTTAGAAATTTTCATCTTTTTTCCGAATCAAACAAGGAAAATTAAAATTCTTGAAAAATAAAATTGAAAATTGAAAAAAAGAATAGAAGAGCCTTGACAACAAACATTTTTTTATGGTGACCATATATTCATTTTCAATTGGTTTTTTTCGATAACCAAAAAATCCATTTGATCCATTTCTGGACAAAAAAAACAGAAAAAAAAACATTATTAGGTTTGAATCAAAATGACATTGACATTGTATTTGATCAATGCTAAATTAATTAAGATTTTTGCTTTCTGGATTATCAAAATATCAATCAATCAATCAATTAGTTATCGGATTCAAATAAAAAAAAAATTTTTTTTTTGATTGCAACTAAAAATTTCCAAATCCTTTGCATCATTTGCAATTTCATCCTATAGTTAACTAACTAAACTATATCTTCTTTTTTTCTGATTGCAATATTTTTTGCCAAATTTTTAGTTTTACTTACCCCCATCAAAAAATTTTCAAGTGTATGTTTAAAAAAAAAACTGTATAATCAAAGTTCAATTATTATCCATCCATAATATCCATAGTTGTTGTTCTTTCGGTATTGTACCTTTAAAATTTCTTTGTTATTACGTGTACAGATCATCAGCGTTTTCTTTTTTTAACATTTTCGTTGGTTGGTTGATGAATTTACTGGATTGAAATTGAAAAAAAACGAAACGAAAAAAAAATCCAAATTTAAATTATTTATGTTGACGACAACAACGAAAAAACAAAAAAAACGTTGTCAAATCAAGGTCAAAAAAATCTACCATTTTGTACCAAACAAACAATTCCTGTTTGGAGATAGAGAGTTGATCGGTTGTACGCAATACGGTTTTTTCTGTTGTTTTTTTTTCAATCATCATCATCATTATTATTTAATAATAAATTAATCGGAGAAAAAAGAAGCAATGGAAAGATACCCCCGAAAAAGAGAGAGAGAGAGAGATGTATTAGTTTTTTTTAGGTTAAAAAATAAATTGATTTTCTTAGCACACTAACTTTGAATACTTTCTTGTTGCTGTTGTTTTTCATTCAATTTTTTTTTCTTCTTCTTTATTTTTCCAGAATGATGACATCTTTCTTCTACTTTTCCCCATTATCTCTGCATGATTATTTTCAATTTATTAACAAGGGAATGTTTCTTATCTAGATTCTGTAATGGTCAAAAAAGAGAAAAAGGATTATATAAAATGAAAAGAATCTTATTTCAATTAACAACAACAACAACCTTTAACCTTGGCCTAGCTTGAATTATTTCCCTGGAAAAAAAATTGTTGATCACAAAATTTGTTTGTTTAACGTATCACAAACACATAAAAATTTCAAACATCACACACACAAACACAATTTCATTTCAAAAATTCTTTTTCTTTTCTTTTTTTTTTGTTCCGGAATTCTTTTATTATTATGCAATCATGATGATGATGATGATGAACCAGAAAAATATATTGAATTGTCATTCAATGCTACTAGCATCACCACCATCATAGCCAGCCGCCATATATTTCAAGGAATTTTTTCTTCTTTTTTTTCTTCTTTTTGGTTCGTATTTCTCTTTAGGGCTCCCATCATCAAATACAATAATGGTTTTGACTTCAATCTTTGACTTCATCATCATCATCATCGTAAAATGATGTTGGCGACGACGAGGACGGGTATACATTCCAAACGGATGATGATCTTAACTGGATCTTTTTTCTTTCTTTTTCTTCTTATTTTTTCCCGATAGTCATCGAATGAATTGATTGTTGACATTTTTTTGTTGTTTGTCGGTTTGGTTTGTTTGTTTGTCGCGAAAAGAATTGTCGTATCATTGATTTTTGAAAAAATTTTCAATTTCACAAAAATTCAATTTTCAAATTAACTTTTTTTTTGAAATTCGAGCTCGAACAACAAACATTCGAAAAATAACATTCGATTTTTTTTTTTGAAAATGATACGTTCAGAATAAATGTAACACTTCAAACGTTCGATTTTTTTCCTGTGCGTGGTGGTGGATTTTTGTTCTTCAAAATTTCAAAAAAAAAATTTTTTCATGATTTAAGATTGTGTTTGTTTTTGGTTATTATTTATTTGCTGTGTTTTTTCGGGGGGGAAATTTTTTTTTCAAAGATAAATATTTAAATTAAGAAACGTTTATTTGCAAACCATACAAACCACACACACATAAATGTCACACATCTTTGTGTTTTTCACTTTTTTGATCATAATCACTATGTTTACCGTAATGAAAACACAAACAAAAACAGCACACACACACACCATCCCACAAACAAAAAAACACCTGAATTAAGTGTTTAACTGTTTATTATCATAATAATCAAATCAATCAAATTGACTAACTATGATGTCAAATGACACACAAGTGATCGGCCGACGCATATTCATAATAGTAAATTGTGTTTAGATTGAAAGAAAAATAAACAGTGAATAAAAAAAGTGAAAATTTTTTTTGATTTTTGAAAAAAGTAAAATCCTCATCATCATAATCAAAAACAAATGTGGAACAAGTGAGCAACACTTGAAAAAAATCAAACGACGAAAAATTATGGATTCGAACGTTAATAAAAAACGTTCGGATATTGTCGACGATGCCGTTCATAGAGTTTGTGACGGTGATAACCCTTCAGTAACCAAAACACCTATTCGCCACCATCAACAACAACAAAAAGTAATCAAGATGACATCAACCACACCTCAATCAATAAAATCTGATAAATTTATCGATCTAGGTAAGTGATCGGTGATCGGTGATCAATGATCAATAGAATTTATTAACAAATTTTGGTTTTTGCGAATGATGATAATGATGATTTTAGGTTATGATTCATTACATTCAACACCTAAACAACAACAACAAAAACAACAACAAAATTCAATTGATGAATCAATGAATTATAATGAAATTAATAGGCTAAATAAATATGAATGGAAAACATCATTGCCACAACAACAACAACAAAAATCATCGATCAATAATAATAATAATAATAAAGATAGTGGTGGTGGTAGTGAATCAAAACAAAAATCAAAAATGATATCTTCCGATCATATGGGAAATATTATTGAAACAATGAGTACAACTACAACAACAACAACAGCAACAAGTTTTGAAAGTGGTAGTCTTAATACCGGTGATGATAATGATAATGGTGAAAAAAATATCGAACGTGAACAATGGGGTAAAAAAATTGATTTTCTTTTATCGATTATCGGATTTGCTGTTGATTTATCGAATGTTTGGCGTTTTCCATATCTTTGTTATAAAAATGGTGGCGGTAAGTGAAAGTGATGTGATATTGAAAAAATTCTGTTACTTAAAAATTCTGTTTTTTTTTCTAATTCAAATCAAAAGGTGTATTTTTAATTCCATATACAACAATGTTATTATTTGGTGCATTACCCTTATTTTTTATGGAATTATCATTAGGACAATGGGCAAAAACCGGTCCAATAAGTTTATGGGATAAAATTTGTCCACCATTAAAAGGAATTGGTTATTGTTTTGTATTAATATCATGGTATGTTTCATTTTATTATAATGTTATTATTGCTTGGACAACAAGTTATGTTATTAAAACAATTTTTTCGGGTAAGTTTTTTTCTGATTTAATTGAATGAATTATCATTGATTTTTTCTTCACACAAAGGTAATCTAATGCCTTGGCAACATTGTAATAATTGGTATAATACTGAAGATTGTATTTCAATGGAAGAAATTAAACAGCTCAAATGTGGTCAACAACAACCAAAACAACAAACAACAATGATGATGGATATTATCAATCAAACAACAACAACAACACAAAGATCTATTTTAATCAATCAAAGTTTGCCTTTGAAAAAATTATTATTATCAAATCGTAAAATAATAAATTCAACAACAGCAATGATTATGAATCGTGAACAACCCGAACAAGAATATGATATTGAAATGATTTGTGAAAAACTTTCTAATCGTACATCACCAACTGAAGAATTTTTCAAGTTAGTTCAAAAAAAAGGCTTTTTAAACATTTTAAAATTTATTTTTTCATTTGCAAAATAGCCGAGGCCTGTTACAGATTGATCAATCACGTGGATTAGAAAGCCTTGGACATATACGAATGGAATTAGTTGGTTGCCTTTTAATTGTATTCATAATACTTTATTTTTCACTTTTCAAAGGTGTAAAATCATCAGGAAAGGTTGTCTGGGTTACAGCAACTGCACCTTATTTTATTCTAACCATATTATTGATACGTGGCCTATTTTTACCTGGATCTAGTAAGCAATATGATGAATAATTATTATTGAACACTTAATTAACCAATATGGTATATTCAATTATTAGTTTCAGGAATATTATATTATATAAATCCACAAATGCATAAATTATTAGAACCAATGGTTTGGGTTGATGCTGCCGTACAAGTATTCTATTCAATTGGTGTTGGTTTTGGTGTACATTTAACATATGCATCATTTAATAAATATAATAATAATTGTTATCGTGATTGTTTGATAACAGCATCGGTTAATTCATTAACATCATTTTATTCTGGTTTTGTTATATTTACATATTTGGGTTATATGGCAACATCAATGAATAAAGAAATTGAAAATGTTGCTAGTGAAGGTTATGGTCTAGTATTTCAAGTTTATCCCGAAGCTATTTCAACATTACCATTTGCAAAATTTTGGTCATTATTATTTTTTTTCATGTTATTAACATTGGGTATTGATTCGGCTGTAAGTAATGATTTTTTTAAAAAATTAACCCTTTTTTGATTGATTTTTAAATTTGATTTAGATGGGTGGAATTGAAGCTGTCATCACTGGATTAATGGATGAATTTGATCTACATAAACGTTTTAAACGTGAATATTTTACCGGTTTAGTTATAAGCGCTTCTTTTATTGGTTCATTAATTAATTGTACTCAGGTAGATATTTGCTTTTTTTTGTTGAAATTTTAAAATTTTACTTTAAAAAAAAACAAGGGAGGCGCATTCACAATGGTTTGGTTCGATACATATTCTGCCGGTATTTCATTAATAGCATCGGCTATGTTTGAAACATTAGCTGTTATGTATATTTATGGTATGTTTTGTGTTGATTTTTTTTCTTTGTTAAAAAACAATTAATTTTTTTTTACCTGATTAGGAGCCGAAAAATTTTGCCTTGATATTGAATCAATGATTGGCCATCGACCAAGTCGTTATTTTGTTTATTCATGGAAATATATTTCACCTGTATTTCTTACTGTAAGTTTTTTTGATTGAGAAAAGCCACATTGGAAAACAATTAACCCTTTTTTTCTTCCTCTGTTGACATATGACAAAAAAAAATCAGACGATCATAATAATGTCGATTATAAATTCAGAATCAATTTCATATTATGGTTATAATTTTCCATTATGGGCAACAATATCCGGATGGTGTTTTACATTATCATCAATATCATTTATACCATTATATGCCGCATTTTATTATATACGTAATCATTATCGTAAAAAATCATCATCAACAACGAAAACAACATTGATGAAAAACATTGATAAGAAGAATAGAAAACAAAAATCGAAAAAATCTAAAATTGATCATCATTCAAATGAAAAAGAACCAACCGAAATGTTGGTCATGTTGACAAGTTATGGTGGTGATGATCATCATGATGATCATAATGATGGTGGAAATCGCAATAATAATGATAAAAATTTCAACCAAAACAAACAAAAAACAACAAAAATTCAACCAAACAATGCTCCAATGTTTGGCAGTGGTGGTGTTTATGTTTAAAAAAATATCAAATGTCATTTTCAAATGCTATCTATCGATTCGCTGCATATCGTCATTATCTTCGTCATTGTTTCATCCGTTTGATTTGTTATCAACTTTTCAAAAACGTTTTTCCGATTTTTTTCTGTTTTTGTTTCATCATTTTAATCATTGTGCAATTGTTGTTATTATACTTAATCGCTAGCTATAAATATAAATAAATAAAATAAATAAATATACTTTTAAAGATGAAATTTTTTATTATTTGTAACTTTTGTTTTACAAAATAATAATGAGTATTCCGGAGGGGTAAAATTATCGATTTTTTTCGTTCGTTCGTTCAATGTGATGGTGGTAAAACATTATTTTTAAAATCACCAATCATATTACCAGGTGGATTATACATACAAACAGTATATTGATGTGGTCTATTTGATTGATCAAAAAATTTACGTTGTGAACAACCAATTTCTTGAGTACCGGCCCAAATAACTTGTGTTGCATGACCAGTATTTGATGTATATTGAGGATTTTGAAAATCATAATTAAAATCTTGGAATTCATCATACCATGCTTTTGTTACTATTTGACAATTACTTAATGAACCATAAATCATATAAAGATTTTCACCAAAATGTTGATTTGGATCTTGTGGCAAGTGTATTAATTTATCCATTTTGGCTAGTTTATCGGCACGTTTTGCAGCAATTTTTTCCAACTTGGTTATTTTAAAGAAAACAATGAAATTAGTTTTTTGAAATAAGAAATGAAAGTTGAAGTTACCTCAATGGATGATTTTACCGGTTTTGAACCATGTTTTGAACGATATTTATTATGAATTTGAACACATTCTTCGGTAAATGCATTATCCGATGATGGATCGGTTGATGGTGTCGATGAAGAGTCGGTTGATGGATCGGTTGATGAAGAATCGGTTGATGATGAATGATGATGATGATATGATTTAAATATAAAATTTAAAAATAAAATCAACAATATTAATGCTAAAAATATAAATAAAAATATAAACCAAATTTGATATTTTTTTAGAAAAATTCTAAATGAATTTAGTTTTCTATGTACACTATTTCGACTGCTGCTGTTGCTGCTTCGAACAGTACAAGAAGCAGTTTGTTGTTGATGATTATTATTTGTTGTCGAAATAGAAATCGAACGATTCTGTTGCGGTTGTTGTTGTTGTTGTTGTTGTAATGTTGACATTTTGGTTGTTGATATTTTTTTTGTTGCTGTTTTGGATTTTGTTTTCGATTTTGAATTTGAGTTCATTTGTCATTCAAAAAATTGATTGATTGGTGATGATGATTGATCGCCGTCGTTTGATGATGATGGAAAAACGACGACGTTTTTTTCCAGTTTTTTTTTTTGTCGTCAAATGTTTCAATTTTGTCGTAAAGTTTTTTTGGCTGGTTTTGTTTGCCAAAAAACAAAAAACAAAATTCGAAATGAATTAATTAATTTTTGGTTTCGAACAGAAACAATCCGAAATGATTATTATTATTATTCTCGAAAGGTGAACTTCAACTGAAAAATTTTTATGAATGTTTTTTTCATTTTGCTATATAAAATACGAATAACGAACGAATGCCTGTAATGCCAAGTATTTTGTTTTTTGATGCCAAGGACACATTCATTTACACAATTCGCTTGCTTTCTAATTACAATTCATATGGCAGAGTATATTTTAATGATAATTTTCATGCTTTTTTTAAACAGCATAAAATCATATCGAATTTCAAACAAAATAATTATCGATGAAAATTCAATTTCTTTTCAATCAAGAAAATGTAAGCATTTTTTTTCTCTATTAAATTCCTATAATTTAATGATTTCAAATTTGTACTTTTTTTTGTTCATTTGCCCAGGTTTTTCTGTTAAAAAAATTATGACAACTGCATTATTATGGTCGTAATTTTTTAATGAATATATTTTCCAAGTAAGAAGTTTATTGATGAATTTTTTTGTTTTTGTTTTGTTAATTTTTTAATTAATTAGAATCATTAATTTATTTTGAGGGTGATGAACGTCAACGACAATAACAACAATAACAAACAAACAACGACAACTGTCAAAAAAAACAACAACCAAAAAGGATATCATATCATATAAAAGAAAATGGTAACCGAAAATAGTCAAAATTGAAAGTTTTGAATCGTAAGAATAAAAAAAAAGAAGAAAATGTTGTTTGAATTTAAAAATTTTACCTATAAATTATTCAAACATGTTGCTGATGAACAGCAACTTGATAATTATCGACGACAAAAATATCGTTTACGACATTTAATGGATTGTTTATTCTATCTTTATTGGCTAATACGTGCTATATTTTTTGGATTAATGTTTTTCGATTCGAAAACATTTCCATTTTATCAATATGATTATGGTGCAAAATATTTTTGGATTTATCAAAATATTCTTAATAAATTTTTTATCATTATTGTTATATTGGTCGTATTGTTTATTTTGCTTTTCATTCGAGCATTTTTCTTTCATCGAGTGGATACGCTAAGTTTTCAAATCCTTTATGATTGTATTGTTTTCAATACTGATCAATATTGGAAAAGTTTGGATACGGAAAAAAATATTCAAATCAAAAAATGTCGACGTTTTCAACAATATCGACAACGATTTAAACAAAATCATCCATTCATAGTGAAAATAATTCCAAAATTTATTCAGGAAAAATTATTCCAAATTCGTGTTTGGTTAGATTCATGGTTAGCATTGGATCAAGTGGATAGGAAATTATTTCAAAATCAAAATAAAATGCAACTATTTCCACATGCATCGTTAAAATGTCGTACAAATATTTTACTATTTTTATTCGGTATCAATATTTTCAATTATATTTTACAAATTACTGTCGGTAAGTTTATTTATAATAATAATAAAAAAAAATTACTAATTTTATAAATTCCTATCTCTTTTTTGAAATCTCTTTAAGTAATTGTAATTTTTATAGGCGCTTGTATTATAATCAATCAAGTATTAGCATTTGAATTATTAAAAAATTCATGTCTATTTAAATTATCATTATCAATTGAATTGATAATATTTTTTTATAATACAATTTTCCTATCACAATGTGGTATAATTATAACCGATTCGATAATTGTAACCTATATTATATTTCATAATTCTGTACGGAATTTAAATCAAAAATTCATTCGGATTTTAAATAAATTTCGTAGTCATCAACGATCAAATATTACAATGTTTAGTTTGAAGGAAAAAATTTTACAAATTCAATTCATTTTTCGTCAACATAATCGTTTGGCTTATTATCTGCTATCAACAAATCAAGATTTATGGAGTGAAATATTTTATTCATTATCATTAGTTAGTATACCTATTAATATAATATTTATGTCGGAATTAATTTTTGAAGATTTACCTCAACAAACACGTTGGTTATTTATATTTTTAACCATTATACATGCATCACCATTATTAATTTCATTTATGTCATTGGCAAAAGTATCCTATGATTTTCATCAGATTAAAAATCAAATACCATCAATGCAATTACAATTAAAACATAATCAACATTTACGAATTAAATTAAAATATGATAATCTTTATGAACGTCTGATGTTTGGTAGAAAAATCTGCTATACATTTGGCTATCTGGGTAATCTAACATTTCGTGGCCTGTTTGAAGGATGTCTGGTTTATATAATGGCTTTTTTTCTTGTCATTCGATTTTATACTGAATCAAAAAATTGATAATTTTATGGAAGAGTGTTTGTTTTTTAAAAATTAAAATTAAAATTAAAATTAATAAATAAAAAAATCGATAATTTCGTTCAAAATAATTTTTTAAAAAATAAAAACTATTTTAAACGAAAAAAAAGAGAGTCCATTTCGACCTTGATCGGTAATAATTTGTATTTCTAAAAATCAATATTTTTTGCGGAAAAAGTGATGGTTTTAACAAAAAAACCAACCAACCACTTTCATAACTTTTTTTTTCTCCCCATCTCTAGAAAGTTTAGAAGAATAGAATCGAATAGAATATTCTATTCTGAATATTAAGTTTGCTGGATGAAATTGTAAAACAGCAAAAAAAAACAAGATAATTTCCTTAATTATTGTTTTGTTTTGCAAACCGAATAGATATTTGTAACTGATCACTGAAAAGAAAAAAAATGTTGTTTGAATTGAAAAATTTCCTGTATAAATCAATCAAACATATTGTCGAAGAATATGGTACTCATCGATATCGATTACGACATTATATGGATGTTTTGCTTTATCTATATTGGTTGTTACGAACATTATTTATTAGTTTAATGTATTTTGATTCAAAAAAATTTCCATTCTATCAATATGATTATGCTTCACTATATTATTGGCAATATCGTAAAATTCTTAATAAATTTTTTATTATTATTGTTATATCGTTCATGATGATTTGTTTGCTTTGTATTCGAACATTGTTCTTTACTTCAAGTAATACATTAAGTTTTCAAATCCTATATGATTGTATTGTTTTCAATACTGATCAATATTGGAAAAGTATAGATACGGAAAAAAATATTCAAATTAAAAAATCTCGACGTTTAAATCATTATCGACAACTATTTAAACAAAATCATCCATTCATAGTGAAAATAGTACCAAAATTTATTCAAAAAAAATTATTCAAATTTCGTTGTTGGTTAGATTCATGGTTAGAATTGGATCAAGTGGATAGGAAATTATTTTCGAAACAAAATAAAATGCGACTATTTCCACATGCAACACTAAAATGTCGTACAAATATTTTATTATTTGTATTTATTGCTGATCGATGTAATTTTATTGTCCATATTATTTTTGGTAAGTTTCTTTTTTTTGTTATTTAATGAGACATTAATTACTAATAATAATAATAATAATAAAGTAATCATAGTTTGGATAATATCATCAATAATATTCTATCAACTTTATTCATTTGAATTATTTCATAATTTATCATTATTAATGAAATTAACATATTTAATTGAATCAATAATATTTATACATAATATTTTTTTACTATTACAATGTGCAATACTTATATTCTGTTCAATGATAGCAATATATATTATATTTCATAATACATTGAAAAATTTAAATGAAAATTTCAATACAATTCTTGTAAATTGTCTTCGTCGTAATACGATCAGTTTATATGAAAAATATCAAATTTATTCAATTTTTCGACAACATAATCGTTTGGCTTATTATTTCTTATTAACTGATAAAGATGTTTGGAGTCAATTATTCTTTTTTATTGCTTTATTTGGTATACCAATCAAAGTAACAATAATGTCCGAATTAATTGTTGAAGATTTACCTATACAAGCTCAATTACTATTCATATTTGTTGCAACTATACATACATCAACTTCATTTATTACATTTATGTCATTGGCAAAAGTATCTGATGATTTCCATCAAATTAAAAAACAAATACCATCTCTGCAATTTCGATTAAAACATAATCAACATTTACGTTTGAAATTAAAATATGATGATCTTTATGAACGTTTGATGTTTGGTAGAAAAATCTGCTATACAATTGGTTATCTTGGTAATCTAACATTTCGTGGCCTGTTTGAAGCATTTTTAATGCATATTATGGCATTTTTCCTTATCATACGATTCTATATTGAATCACATAATTAATTTGAAAAAAAATATAAAAAAAAACAATTCTTAATTAAAAACAAAATTGGTACTTTACGTATATTTTTACCATTTTTTTTTCTACCAAAAAAAAAAGTTTACTAATGAATTTGTTGTTTTTCCCACTCAGAATCATTATTATTATCATTTTTTTTAATAGTAAACTTTATCAACAACAACAACAATAATAATGATAAACACAGAAAAAAAATTCATTAAGTTTTGAATTTAATATGAAATTCAGTAAAGAAAAGAAAAACTCATTTAGAAAATTCATTTCAGAAAAGAATTTTATTTCTATATTTCTTTCGGTAAAAACAAGAAGTGTCATTCAAAAAAAAAAAAATGTTGTTTGAATTGAAAAATTTTATCTATAAATCAATCAAACATATTGTTATTGAATATGGAACCAATCAATATCGTCTAATACATTATTTGGATGTTTTGCTTTATCTACATTGGTTAATACGTGCATCATTGATTGGTTTAATGTTTTTAGATTCCGAACAATATCCATTATATCAATATGATTATGCAGCAGCATATTTTTGGTATTATCGTAATGTTGTTAATAAATTTTTTATTATTATACTTATATTATTTATATTTTGTGGTTTGATTGGTATTCGAACATTTTTCTTTCATCCGGTGGATACATTAAGTTTTCAAATCCTATATGATTGTATTGTTTTCAATACAGATCAATATTGGAAAAGTATAGATACGAAAAAAAATATTCAAATTAAAAAATCTAGACGTTTAAAGCATTATCGACAACGATTTAAACAAAATCATCCATTCATAGTGAAAATAGTACCAAAATTTATTCAGGAAAAATTATTCCAAATTCGTTGTTGGTTAGATTCATGGTTAGCATTGGATCAAGTGGATAAGAAATTATTTTTGAATCAAAATAAAATGCAACTATTTCCACATGCATCGTTAAAATGTCGTACAAATGTTTTGTTATTCAATTTTATTATCGATAAATGTAATTATATCATTCATATTATTGTCGGTAAGTTTCTTGTTTGTTTGTTTTGTCTTTAACTATAACTAAATACTAATTTTACATTTTTCTCTTCCATTCAAAGTTATCATAATATTTATAGCAGCTTCTATAATTATTTATCAATTATTTTCATTTAAAGTATTACAAAATTCATGGCTAATGAAATCAATGTTATTTTTTGAAACAATAATATTCATTCATAATACACTTTTACTATTACAATGTGCAATACTTCTTACTGATTCAATGATAGCAACATTTATTATATTTCATAATATCGTAAAACAATTGAATGAAAATTTCATTGCGATTCTTAAGAATTGTCTTCATCGTAATACGATTAGTTTATATGAAAAAATGAAAATACTATTCATTTGTCGACAACATAATCGTTTAGCTTATTATTTAATATTTACCAATGAAGATATTTGGAGCAAAACATTTTATTATTTTGCATTGGTCAGTATTCCGATTAATGTATCCATAATGTCTGAATTGTTGGTTGAAAATTTACCAATACAAACACAATTATTATTTATATTTGTTGCTATTGTACATGCAATCTCTTTATTGGTTCCTTTTATGTCATTGGCAAAAGTATCGGATGATTTTCATCAAATTAAAAATCAAATACCATCATTACAATTTCGATTGAAACATTATCAACATTTACGTTTAAAATTAAAATATGATGATCTTTATGAACGATTAATGTTTGGTAGAAAAATCTGTTATACATTTGGTTATTTGGGTAATCTAACATTTCGTGGTCTTTTTGAAGCATTTCTTTATTATATTATGGCATTTTTTCTTGTATTAAGATTTTATTTCGAATCACATAATTGAATGTTTTAATTTAACTTTTACCAATTTGTACATTTTATTCAAATAAAAACGTAACATTTTAAATAATTTGAGTGAAAAATAATTTGAATGATTTTGAAAAAAAACATGCGCACAGCAATAAGTTATGGCATAGTCATGGTCACCAACCTAACCTCACTCAACTATGAATCACAGTCATAGTCATAGTCATGGT